GACCGCTTCGGGTTCCTACGCAGGCTGTTCTGCGTCCGAATCACGTATCGTTTATAATGGAAGCGATTGTACAGTCGATAACTGTTACTCGCTTGAGTGAATACGCACTTTACAACTGGATAACGAGAACGCCAGAAATTGCGTAGCGCATGTTATCTTATTCGTTTCAGCTGTCGTAAACGAGCCCTAGTAGCACACTTGTTGCAAACTTGGTGTGTAAACTTCAATATGACTAATTTCAGTCATAAACAATTAGTTGCAACTTTCTGTGACTAAAGTGTGCTACTCGGGAGAATTGGACCACGGTGCCTTTGTGGCAGGTCGGCGAAGAGAAATACAGCTGATAATGGCTCGATTAACCTTTTCGTTGAAATAATCCACTGCAACATCCATACAGGCTCCACCTCAAGAGTCTGCCAATCAATATCAAAAATTGTCTCACGCAATGTCTTGTAATCAGCTTGATAAAAGTCTAAGCTCTGAAGATCAACGACATCCTCGAATACTGTAGGGAGCAGCAGTTGAACGGTGACCTCAAGGGCAGGATGATTCCTATCGAGGTCGATCAATGGTTCTGTAGCATTAGACACAGTACTCCCACGTAGTTATGATATTGTCATTAGCTAACACACAATCAAGAATATGAGTATTTTGATTAGCAACGGAATTGATTTGCGTTAAGCCATGCAGACTGAATCCATCCAACAAAATTGCGCTAGGTGCCGAGAGATACGATTGCTGATCATCTATGACCGGAAGATCATTCGGTGAAGAAGACCAAACCAGATTGGATTGATTATAGTCTCCGAACTGAATTACGATGCCTGAAACTTCCAAACTCGTTAGAATCGTTCCAATTTGCTCTTCCGACAGGTGGTAAGTAGATCGCTTCGATGCTAGCGTTACCAATGGGGGTTTTAATCTTGATCCATAACTGTTCAAGTGTATCACAGACAGATGTAGGATCTAAGCAGCAACTCAAGCACGAGGAGATGGCAATAAGCACACCACCTCTCCAAGATTTAGTGCTGTTTGCTGGATTGCGGCCATTTCGGAAAACAGTGTACGTGCTGCCAAACAGTTGCGTAGATGAAACACGATCATCAAACCATGTCTCAGTGAGAACGATGACATCGTAGCAGGAATCCGGAGCGGCAAGGAAGAAGTCGTCAATCTTAGTGCGTAGACCGCGAACGTTCTGGTAGTAGATATTTAGTCGACGTTCACCTGAAACCAAATTTTCTCTAGCAGGGAGCTGTGGTACTGGATCGCTGCAAACCAGAGGCGCATGAGGGATGGAAATACTGTTGCTGCTTGAGTACTTGTCTGGAATAGCAGGCTGGAAGACCCGTTCTCCGGTTCCGTACACAGGAGCGAGACGACTTCGACTGCACGACTGTGACGGACGAAAAAGGGGCTTCCAAAGTGCCTAGGGCCGTGCGTCCCGGGGATGATACCATGGAAACCATTGAGCATTATCTCGTAAGCGGTGTCATTAAGCATTATCTCGTAAGAGATTACGTCGGAATTACTCGGTGACAAAGCAAAAGAGCGCAGTGGATGGTTTCCATGTTGAGCTAATGGTAGTTGCTTTAATGAAGAGGCCATGCTGGAAAGTGGAAAACTATCAGGGCCGGTAACGCGAATATTTGCCTGTAAGTGCAGGCTGGAAGACCTCGCCACCATCTCCGAACACAGGGCCAAGATGATTCTGAAAACTATGATCAGCTTCACGCTCGACTGGTTCAGTGGATCAAAAAACATAGTTATTTTTTGTTTTACTTTATTTATGAGATTTTTAGCCGTACGCTGGTTCAACTCAAACAAAATCATAGCTCAATAGACCATTAAATTATCGGGTTTTGTTATGGCATTAAAGAATTTTGATGTTTTTTTTAAAGTTCTGTAACTCGATACCTCCCTAAGTCGATGTTTTCTTGAATATCGAGTAAGGGAGAGTTTACTGTGTTTCAAAAATAACATTTACTTTTTGTATCTTATATTTAATCACTTCAAAGTTTAGGATCGCTTCCAGTCAGGGGTTGGAACTGTTGACGTTTTTTACTACACTCGCTTCGTTTCCGTGCGCGACAGTGTGTTTGTATTCGTACTCGCATGCTCTATGAAAATTATCAAATAACTATCATATGACATGTGTGATTTCGTTCTAATTCCTCAATTTGGTGTAAATTAAACCATTTCTGATCAGAAATGTTATTACTAGGACATCGTTGCTTGCTATTTTCAGAAATCACACATGCGCAATATCAGCAACTGTTATTATGAGAAAAAACTAAAATACATACATTCGTGACGGTCTTCGACGACAGGGTCGTATGACAGAGCCTGTCATATGACATTTTAGTTGGGTACTGTAATTTGATAGCTTTCTTTTGCAAGTGTCGGAAGCAAAGGCAGTCGATTATCAAAGAAAATGTGTCGGCTACGGTGACCGCTTACAAGACTGCTTCCAGTTGACTAACATGTTGAACAGACTGATTCATAATTATACTTAGCTGTATCGCAATTGATGAAATAACTGTCTCTCTTACCCTGTCTATAATATTCAAAATGGTAATAAAAAATACAAAATGACCTTAAAATCGTCAAAAAAGCCTGAAACCCATCGTTATTGTTTTGAAAATTTTGTAAATTTAAATGAAAATGGCATTGAAAACACTAACATAACGTAAAATCATCATAGCCCTAAAATCTACAAAACAGCTTTGAAAATTGCAAAATAGTCAATGAACAACACATATTGTATTGAAATTCTTTTTGTTTTGAATCCTTTAGGAAGGAAGATTCTGTTAAGAGGTTTTAGTATAAGAAAATTGAAGTGCTTCCTAATTTCTATCGATTTTCAGCAACTTTTTAATAATTTGAGGATGTTTTACTAACAAACAAAATATAAATCAATAGCTCCAATGTTGCTAACCCAACAAGAACTTAAAATCTGATAAATTCTAGTGGAAGACGGGGTAAAACCGCCATCCTAAGCAATAAATTTAGTAACTCAAAATGAGCAAGAATTTTAACATTTTGCTAAGCTACATATGAATAAGAATTCATTTATCTATGGACAAAAATTATGAAATTTTATGATTCATCACATTATTTATGCTTTTTCATAAATTTTGGAACGATAAAAAATACTCTTTCTTTTACAAGCGGAGTAAGAAGGACCACCAATGATGACTGATTTTTCGACAACCATTCCATTGCACAAAAATAGACGCTATGATCACTTAGATCATAAGTGAATATCTTTGGTCAACTGTTTCCACAGGTATGGCCGGAACAGGTTCCAGTAACCATAAGTCCTGTGAGCAAAGATCTAGAAATGACCGAAAACGATACAAACCTATATTTTGACACATAAAATCGTATGAGAATTAGAAAATATGACCAATAGGAGTCATATTGTGTGCATAGATCCTCATTTTCTACACCCTGTCATGTTCCGGGTACCACCGGGGAAGTGGTAAAAATCATATTAACTCGAAATCCATCATGCGACACGTCAAATCACATGAGAACTCTAAAAAAATATCATTGGTGCTTAAATTGAGTATGGTGGACCACATTGGCCACTCATGGACATGTTCGGGATACACCCCGGGAGCAAAACAAAATTTATTTTATTGTAGGAATGTAAATTAATAAGAATGGTCAAATCTCACCATAGATGGACGAATCCAGGTTTTTATTCTTGGTTATAGGTAAGAGAAATCTATGACATTTAATACTTGATCTGGAAAAAGATCATTTCAGTTTCAATCAAAGTCATTTCGCAATAAAGAAGTGTGACGCTTTTACCTCTGGTTTACATTTTTCACAATATGGTATATTTTCACATGTTTCATGCAAACATTTATCTATAGTCACAGAAGCAGTACAGCCTACTGAAGGAAACAGTTTGTTTATCAAAAAGTCTTATATTTGTATCTTTCAAAATTAGATCGTGAAAGCTCCACCGAACGAGAAGTTTGCTTTCATTTATTGTTTTGAAGCTTCATAAGTTCGGGGGCTACAAGGAGTTTCAGAATGATATAACCTTGTTTTTTTTTTATCTTTTCTGTATTGAGTATCGGTAAAAATCTTGAGGATTTCATATAGAACTGACTGTGGTCCCTCTTACCCCGCCGGGCGTTCTTACCCTGGCTTCAGCTACATAAACATTTAAGAATGTATCTGAACTCCTGCGCCTCATCTAAGGACAGTTCACGGCCAACCGTTGGATCGTAACCCATAGGTTAAGAAACGGTGATCTAACCTAACCATGTTAATTCAGATAACTAAATAATAAATAAGAAACAGAAACCATTTTTTCCAGTCGTTTGGTTTCGGTGTTGAGGTATACACTTTTAAAACCATTTCAACGCAAAAGATACCGACCCCTCCTAGAAACACCCCTGTTATTTTTCGTCCAAATTGAGCATGCAGAGGTTACACAATTATGACTAGCAATATTTTTCCAATGTTTCAAATATATTATACCTAAAGCTACCGATTCCATTCAACTGAACTATTGCTATTAGGTGAATTGCTCGGATACCATGAATGACCGTGCGTCTCCATGGAATACGGTTCGTGCTGAGTGTGTGCATGGTTTCCAATATCACAACATTCGGAGCTTTTTCTCCACTGTTCATGAAACGCTGTTCTGATTGTGGTAGTTGTATGCTCTCATTTTCCACGAGAGAACAACACCACTCACACATCCCAACGTCGTCTTCATCGGTCTGCTTAGAAGTTTCCGAATTCGCTACTGAAACCTTCTGTAGCACTACTGGTAGGTCGAATGACCGTGATCCTTGCCTTCCCTCGTCCTCGTCGTCGTCGTCGTCATCGTTTTGAAGGGGGCTTTGAGTGAAACTTTACTCTGCAAAATTTTCTCCCATCTGCTCGCATCCTTCGCGCAAATTGTAGAGAGCAAATCGCGACAGATAACCGGAGACGCGTGGATTCTGCATCATCGGCGAGTGGAAATTTTAGTCGCATTTTGGAGAGGAAACTGAACGGTGCTTAAACTCAAGTAAACGGCAATAGACAAAGTGTCCCCTCGAGGAAAACTACGCGTTTTTGTTCTCTGCCAGCCCAGGATTTACCATTTGGAACGCCTACCTGAAACACAGAAAGGAGGAATTGTGAGACGCGTCACGTTTTGCGAAGGAAAAACCTATTCACACGTGATTTCGGTCATTGAAAGTCGGGAAAACCTTCCGTGAAAATTTTCATCGTACACTCCAGCAAAGCGTAAGTATCCGTGTTGGGAACCCCACCCCACGTGTGCGTGCTTTTTCGTGCATTTTCTTTGCTGCCCAGCAGCACTGGCAGCAGCAGTTCCACGCAACAAGAAAGTAGGTGCCTCTCTTTTCCGAACAAGGAAAATTGATTTTTCCAACCGTTCCATCGTTTCTGTACCGTCGTCGCTTGGGTGGCTGGCAGCCATCCGTCCAAAGTGATACCGATAATGGTTGGTATGTTGCGTGGTTGTGGTTGTAGGATATCGAACCTGGCATAACATGAGTCCGCGTGGTTCCTTGGAAGAATATGGAAGACATCAGACAGGATGTGGGTTCTTGCGTGTGAAGGAATTTGCAACCTACCGACTGCATTGAGCCCCTCTTTTTGTCTCGATTATGAATGGATGATACAATTACACTCGTACCGTAACTATATTTTTTTCCACTGTCGTGAATGCTTGTCTTGTTAGCTAGGTTCGAAGTGTGATGTACACTGGAATGGGAATTTCTTGGGATGAAAATGCTTATAGAAATGCCAAACGGTTCTGTCCAATCATGGTGGAAGGGGCCGGGGCAGCTCGCTCGTTTCGTTGTCTTGCGGCCACATTCACGTCAAATGAAGAGTGAAAGCTTTCATGGTTGAGAATGATGTCCTTCTTTGGCTTTTACGCCCCAACAGGAACATGTGCTTTGAGCACTTCTCCGGTTGTTAAATGAGTCTAGACAATTTTTGCATGCGTGCACGATGGTGCTATGCCCATGGAAGTTGAGAACTTTTCCAGCTAGAAAAAAATATATCCGATAATCGAACCTTCGGCCGCATCTTTGCTAACTAGGCTATCGTGATGCCCTAGAAGAATGACGTCCTATGCTGATGCAAATTGCTAGAATTGGAAAAACGATATTATTTTGCTTCAAAGTAGCTCTCTGCATGTTATTTTGCAAGTGTATCCTTGATTCCAGAGAACTAGTGATATAAATACCTTGTTAACCTTGTCTTCTGCTATCGATTGATTCTGATATCGCAGCAGATGACGTGATTGGAAGAATTGAGAATACTTGTTTGGAACAGTTGCGCTTTCCTCCTGCTGAGCGTGTCTATTTGCTTCTCAGTATTTTCTTGCTTAAAAATACGGGCATTTAAGGTAGGAACTAGATAATACTGGTTAGAGAATACCACCATAAATCATGTATAAATGAAACTGAAAAAAAAACATGTTCTATATTTTGGATTTTTCATATGTTGATGACCCATGTAGTCTAATGTATTTGTTATGGGTGATGACCCATTTAGTCTAATGTATTTATTTAAGCATATTGACTTGACGTTTCGTAGGACTGTATAATGGTCTAAGTTCACATTTAGCGGAAAAGCAGTACATGAACTTTTGTTTTAATATTTCAACGTGAAGTTTCTGTGATGAAAAGTTCCTTCTTTTGTTGATTGTAAACATTAAAGATCACGCAATATCCATTTTTTTTTCATTTATAAAATACGCCCTTTTCAAATGTTAACTACTAAGCATGGGGCAAAAACACACACATTTTGAAATTAGTATTTGAAAGGACACAGCGTTAAGTACTGATACAAAAAAAATGGAGATATGTAATTTTTAAACGCATATTAAATCAATTTAAATATTGAGGCGAACCAGCAAATAGCTTATAGTCTCTTTAATAAAGTAAGCTATCCTCAATTTGACTATAGTTCAAGAGCAAATTTTCATTATGTCGTAATTAACATTCACACCGATTCGAGAAAAATAAAGTTTTGTTTTGATGACCGAAAAGTTATTCCCATTTCCAATTAAACACATATATAATCTCATAGTGATAGCAATGTTCAACATATTTAGCAGGGTTTCAATCATACAAATGCAAATCGCTAGCTTTCATGCTAAAAAATACTGGTTTTTGAGGCAAAAGTTATTATGCGTCGTTTGGTGGCCACTATTGTTACTTAAGTCAAAGTGTATTTACCAGGATATTCGGGAGCATTAACAATTACGTCTCCTTACGTGCAGCCCATTCATCATTTTAGGACCACCGAAATCATCTTAGCAACAAACAGTTCGATTTATTCACTTTAATAATGAGAAAGCGAAACGATGAACGTACACTTTTCACGGGTTTCTCTGCGCTGTTACTCAAGACAAACGGCATCTCCATAGAAATCGGGTGACTTAAGTAACATCGAAAACTATTTTGATCGGAAGGTGATTACGTCAAAAAGCAATTTGACTGGTAAATAAATCTATAAAAGGGATGTGATCCTATATTCGGACAGTATATACTGTAATAGCAGGAGCATCGATTGACACTGATAGCTCGACTTTGTTTACCTTTGTTACTTTCGACGTAAGGAAAATTTGCTCTTGAGTTTTTATATAATTGAGTATACTTTCTTTATGAAAAGAGATACAGACAGTTAACAGAATATGCGTATTAAAAAACTTCAAACGTCTCTGAAAGATGACTTGCATGAAAAATTTGAAATAACAAGGTTACAGGCAAAGCTAATTTTCAAAGGTCCACCCTAAAGACGAATTTAAATAACATTGGCTAGTTTTTTTGTTTTAGTATTTAGACGTTAGGCTAATATTAAAATGTTTGGTGTCTCGCTGAAGTTTATGTCTTTAAAAAGTTCCTTCTTTTGGTGGTTGTAAACAATAGGGTGGTCCTCAAATTAATTGATTTTCAAACACTGACTTTCTTATTTTATAAAATTAATACATATCTAGATAGAGCTGGAATTAGGGCGTAACAGCTTTTGTAAACAATGACTTCTCTCGATGATTTCTCGGAAGCCATGGCTCTCCCTGGCAAATCAACATCACCATCGAGTAGAAGAAGACTTCTCCTACGCGACGGATATATTGGTTTGAGTAGGCGTGCCTTGAATTCCGAGAAATCAACGAGAGAAGTCATTGTTTACAAAGGCTGTTACGCCCTAATTCCAGCTCTATCTAGATATGTTCTCGAGAAATGCTGTAGCTGAGTTAATTTCAAGCAACTTTATTCAAAAAATATGCTTTCTATCGCTCAAAGTTCTCATTTTAGAATAATTTTTCGGAATTGACTAAGGGTGTTCCTAAAAAAAAAACTTTTTTATTTAATTTTTCCCATGAAAGTAATCTTTAAGAGAGTTTTGAAGCTTTTGAAGACGTATTTTTAAGAGATACTTTTACTAAACAAAAATGTGTATTTTAATAAGTTCAAAACGATACTTGAAAACATTTACGAGAAATTTGAAGCAATAGATTTACAGCTAAAAACCAATTTTTTTTAGATACACCCTAATATAACTCTAAAAAAAATTGGGTTGGGTTTGCAGCAGGGTTCGTTTTGGCAAACGATGAGCTGAATTGATGTCCTAACAATCATATAACGCGAAGGAGCTTGGGATTGAACCCACGGTCTTCTGCTCAGTAAGCAAAAACGTTTTCCACTAGGCAGACGAGCTCCTTTTTAATCATCGAGTTGCTGTTATTACCATGTAGTCATGTTAACAAACAGGGTTCCTTCCATTCATTTCGGCTAAAAAATGTTTTATTGAATTATGGAATAATAAGATATTATGATAATAATTGGTTTGCGTAAGCAACAAGACAAGATTGTAAAGTTTGTGTTTGACACATAATACTTGCAAATTTAGCTTTGACAGAGCCACAATGAGTGGTTTTCTGATCGCCTTTTCGCGAAGAGTGAAGAGCGAAGAGTGGGTGAGATAAATGACAAAATCGCTTATTGCGACTCTCATGTAGCAAAATTGGCAGGTATTATGTGTCAAACACAAACTTTACAATATTTTCTTAGTACTTACGCAAACAAAATATTATCATAACATCTGATTATTCCATAATTTAATAAAACATTTTTTTTTGCCAAAATGAATGGAAGGAACCCTGTTAACAAATAAAACGATTGACGAATCTTGAATGTGGATGGGCTTGAGATTAGACTCATGATGTTCTGCTCAGTAAGCAAAACCGGTTGCTCTAAGGCCACCGAGCCCCTCATATCACATTATAGCGTTACTCAAGTTTTTATAACTATTCAAACCCGACACCGACGACAACGAAAAGTTTTACAAAATACACGATAAACAAGCGATCTTACCATCCATTTTTAATATGAATGGACCTGGGACCGCGTTTTTCTGCTCAGTAAGCAAGTCACTGCAACCGACGATCTTTGAAATCCTAAAACTAAAAGCTACGAAAGAGTATTTCGGCCTTCATTAAGATCCACTTTCACGCGACGTTCCATTGTTCGATTTTCTCTTTACGCATGGTTCAGGCAATCATAACAAGCTATGACCGACGTGACGATTGTTTAAGACCTGGTTAAACAAGCTATTCAAATGAAATTCCGTTCTAGAATTTCACTTGGCATGTAATGAACAACAGAAATACGCGATAATTCATATTTTCAGTGGTTGATGGTTAATTTTAAATATACTAACGGTACTGCCTTCGACTACGACGGCGATTACGACAGCGACTACGACGGCGCCTACGACAACGACAACAGCGAATTTGTAACTTACCATTTGTCTAGGATAAACACCTTTGCCCGGCACTTCCACTGGTTCTTCATGTCCGCTATCTGTCACTGTTTGCAAAATATCTAATAGTAATTACCTTTGTTGTAATACTTCCTGATAAACAATTATAACGGAATTAAAAGGAAATAAATCAACACACTCAAAAAGCTCTTCATGTCTCATGCTAATGTTATAAATTTGAAGATTTATATTTATTAGTGTTCTATTCTTTCATTGCTTGATTCCGGGCAATAAGAAGGCGGACTCGTTTACAAAGGTGGGCGCTATGGAAGGTAATATTTACGATCGACAAATCGCCTACGACGAATAAATGGTGTGAAGGGAGTTTGGGAAGATGGCTATATTCGATCATCCCTAATGTGTCGAAGTATCCTTGGTTTAAAGGGTTGGAGGTGGGTCGAGACTTCATTCGTGTGATGTCTCGCCTCATGTCAATCACTATT